TACAAAATAATGGTTTAATATTACAAAAACGGTTACATAGTTTGAAAGAACAAATGAGTAGAAAGAAAGGAAAACAACTTATCAGTAACTGGTTAATAAGTAAAGATTAATGTTAAGTGCATGGTTAGTATAGTTAAGGTTAATATTACATAACTAAAATAACTCAAGAGGGGTAGATCTAATATTAGCATTAAGGACAGGGTTAAGTTGAGAAATTAATAGGCTTTCACGGATAAGAAGATCCCACTCAGAAGTGCCTGATAGAATTTTGAAATCAGAAGCGGAGACTGGGTGTTTGTGCATGTGTTTGTGAGCGAGGATACTAGACATGGTTGAGATAGTCAGATAGAGCGTTCTTTTCCAGTCAAAGGCGAGACTCCCATATGCTCTGAGATACGTGTGTGAATGTGTCGGCGTGTTTGGCCAACATACAATGCGCTACAGCATTGACACGTGAACTGATACACAACATGTGATCTCAATCCTGTCAATCCTGTCTTTAAATGGAAAGAAACTAGAAAGGCGACAAGAGGGACGGAAAACAACACGTATGGAAATATGTGGATAAGCAGAAGCAAGAACTTTACTAAGTTGTGTACGGATATGTAGACCATGATGTCCAGTGAAAGGAAGGCAAAAGTAGACAATTTTCTTGGAACATGTATTGACCTTGTCCTTGGTGTTATAAATCCTGTCAAGAAATGTCTTAATGCAACTATCTATAAGTGCTTTAGGATAACCATTAGAAGAAAAGGTTTTCTTAAAATTTTCCATTTCAGACTGGAAAGATATGTAAGAAGAACAAATATTGAAATATCGAGATATAAGAGAGAAGACCTTTTTTGTACATCATTGGAATAAAGCTATCAAAGTTTGTGAATAAGCCAGTTGAAGTGCATTTGTGATGGACAGAGGTCGTGAATGAGCCGTTTGAACGCATTACGTTAACATCAAGAAAAGGGAGTGAAGAATTGTTTTCAAGCTCATGTGTGAATTGAATATTCGAATGTTTGGAATTGAGATAAGAGAGGAAGGGAAGCACATGATCACGAGATTGAAAGATCAGAAAACAATCATCGACATAACGACGATAAAACAAAGGTTTAAAGTTAGAAGGGCAGTCAGTTTCATGGAATGATAGAAAGATGTTAGCAAACAGTGGACCAAGTGGTGAACCCATTGCAACACCATCAACCTGCTTATAAAGAACACCATCAGATAGAAAATGACAATTCTTTACAGATAAGTTAAGAAGTCGAGTGAATTGATCAACTGTGAAACCGTGAAAGCGTGAGGTATTATAGAAATACTTATTAACAATTATACTAATAGTCTCATCTAGTGGTATGTTAGTAAAAAGTGACTTAACATCAAAGCTAGCCATTACAACATTATTAGTATTAATCTGCAGCTCACGTAATTCCTTAACAAACATAAATGTATCAGAAATAGTGTAAGAATTAGTGGAAAAAGGACGGAGAAGTGGTACAAGAAACTTAGCAAGTTTGTAAGCATGAGTTCCTATAGCAGAGATAATAGGCCTTAAAGGAAAATTAGGTTTATGAACTTTAGGTAAACCATATAGAATACCTGGCCGAGAGCCAATGGGCGTAAGTTCATCATGCTGTTGTTCAGATATAAGTTCTTCATTCTTGAGTTCATTAAGGAGTTTACGAACTTTGTCTTCACGTTTTACAGTTTCTTTATATATATTAGATTTCTGCATTTTTAACTGTTCGAATTTAGTGTTATCCTTAAGAATGTCAAACATTCTAGATTTGTAGTCGCTGCGGTTAATGATAACAATCCCATTTCCTTTATCCGGTTTTATCAAGTATATATCCTTGTCATTCTGGAGTGATTTAATTGTTTTAAGTTCGTCATCCGAGAAGATAGAGTTAGGAGGAATGTAGGTTTTATAGCCCGTCAACGCATATGACCCAACTGTCTTGAGCGGCGGTTGTGTGCTTGAGAGCTCTGATTATTTTATTTTTGAGCTCAAACGTTATTATATACATAATGCCTGATACAATAACATCTCTAAAGAAAGAAAACGATGCTCTTAAACGAGAAATTGAATCTTTAAAGATGAATTTTGGCAAACTACAAGAAATGATGGAATGCCATGAAGAACCAGTGAAGCAAGACGGCCCGAGTAAAATTTTGCAAACTCAAATCCACACATTACAAACTAGCCTTCAGTTTCTAAGTGATAAATACGATTCTGAGAGTACTTCTAAAGCTGAAATGAAAAAGGAAATGAACAAACTAAGCTTAAAATTGGCAGAAATAGCCAATCAAAGTCGACCACGTTGGCGATGCGCTTGAGCAACTTCAGGAATATAGTTATCAGTATAACATTAAAATTCTTGGCCTTTCAGAGCGAAGCGAAAGGGAATCGGCAATTGAAACCAGCTCAATGTGTGTAGATCTTTTTAAATCGATCGGAGCTGATGTAAACCTTAGCGACATTGATATCGCTCATCGTGTCCCCAGTAGAAGACAAGATGGCAAACCGCGTCCGATAATCTGCAAATTTGCTCGTCGAATTGCAAAAGAGATTGTGATGAATCGACGAAGCGAAACCTCTAAAGTCAACTCATCCGTACAAATGTTCGACCATTTAACTCCGAAAAATCAGCAAATTTTATTCGAAGCGAGATCATTTAAAGAAAGAAACGATTATCAATTTTGCTGGACAAAGAACTCTGTTGTTTATTTAAGAAAAAATCCTTCCTCCCGCGCTATCAGAATAAAAGATGTTGAAGATCTTCAGAGATTAAACGAGTGACAGTGTACAACATAACTAGAGCTAAGTTACAGTTATTAAGTTTATTTAGTCATTTGTTATTTTTATTTTTGGAAAGAATGAATATTTTTATTAATGTCGAATTCACTAATTGAACTTCCATTTTATAATGTCGACCTTATCCAGGAGTTTTCCTTTACTAACAATTTAAACCTTCCTACTATGAAATATCTTAACAGCTATTCTAGTATGTACGACCTGGGGCTTTTTAATATAGACACATCTACCGATACAAATGTAGATATTAATTCAAGGCATCAGTCAATTTGATCTCAGTATTATTCACCTCATAAATTTGCAGAACTTAAGAACTCTCAAACAAAACACATTATATTGAATAAAAGTTTTTCAATGCTACATAACAACGTAAGGAGCCTGAAACGTAATTTGGAAAATTTGCAAACTCATTTGTTACAAGAATTAAATTTTAATTTTAGCGTAATAGGTATTACTGAGACAAAAATTAGAGATAATGACTTTTTTGACTTTAATCCTAATATGGAAAACTATAAATTTGAATTCGTTCCAACACCATTAGCTTCAGGAGGCATGGGGATGTATATTCGTGATAACTTGAAATATACTGTTTTAGAAAAATGCTCCAATAAAGCTTTTCAGGCTCTTTGGGTTGAAATTGATTTCCCAGATAAATCAAATACTATTTGTGGAGTAATCTACAGACAACATAACTCCCCAGAGTCATTTCAAACATATTTTGAAGAAAGTTTGGACAGATTTAGTGCTTTGCGATCAAATAAGTCTATATATATATAATGGGTGATTTTAACATAAACCTCCTCAATGCTCAAACCTGCCAATACACACAAGACTTTTTATTAACCCTTCAAAGCTATGCTCTAACTCCAACCATTGACAAACCAACTAGAGTTTATAATAACTCGGCCACATTAATTGACAACATTTTTGTCAATAAAATTGAAAACCCAATTCTAAGTGGAAATATTGTTTCTGACATCAGTGATCATTTCTCGCAATTTTGTATAATCCAAACATACAATAAAACAAAACATTTATATCAACATCAAAGCAAAGTACGAGATTTTTCACATTTTTTACCATCAGATTTTAAGAATGATTTAACACAAATTAATTGGAATTCTATTATCGATAGCAAAAAAGAGAATATAGATAAATTATTTACAACGTTCTATAATAAATTAAATAAATTAACAAATAAACATGCACCTTTAAAACCGATATCCAAACGTAAGATTAAACAGTCTGCTAAACCATGGATAACAAAAGGCATTAAAAAATCCATTAAGATCAAAAACAAACTATTCTGTTCTGGAAACAAAGAGAAATATAGATTATATCGAAACAAAATAACTAACTTAACTCGAATTAGCAAAAGGTTTTATTTTGAGGAATATTTTAAAAATAATCTTAAAAATATGAGGAAAACTTGGGAAGGTATCAACAATCTAATAAATCGTAAGAAAAAAAGTCGAAAACTGGTTACAAAATTGAGGTGTCCAATCAAAAATGAAATAGCTACGAGTCCTACAGAAATTTCCAATATTTTTAACAAGCATTTCTCATATATAGGGGAAAAATTAGCTGCGAAATTGCCCAATTCAAGTAAACATTTTAGCTATTATCTTAATACCAACAATTATGCAAATTCATTCTTTTTTAAACCCGTTACGTCTTCTCAAATTGAATCCGAAATCAATTCAATGCCCTGTGGCAAAACAAACGGTCTTTACTCTTGTCCCACGCGTATACTAAAATGCATAAAAGAAAACATATCGTGGCCGCTGGCTGAAATAATGAATCTTTCAATTCAAAATGGAGTATTTCCATCAAAACTTAAACATGCTAAGGTAATTCCTGTTTATAAGGATGACGATGAGACTGATCCAGGAAACTACATGCCAATTTCACTGCTCTCTAATTTCAGTAAAATATTTGAAAAATTGATGTATAAGCGTCTTAAACATTTTTTCGATAAAAACCAGATTTTATATGATAAACAGTACGGTTTTAGAGACCAACATTCGACACAATATGCAATTACAGACATTGTAAGCAACATTCAAAATAATATGGAGAAAAGACTGTTCTCATGTGGAATATTTCTTGATTTAAAGAAAGCTTTTGATACTGTTGATCACTCCATACTCATAGGTAAATTAGAGCATTATGGTGTTTGTGGGATTATCAATAATTGGTTTAAATCGTATTTAACTGATCGAATACAAACAACTCAAAATGAAGAAAATATATCTATGAAAGAAACAAATAGATATGGCGTACCAATGCTTGGGCCTTTACTTTTTCTGATATATATAAATGATATACATGTGTCATCCAAAGTATTCAAATTCTATTTGTTTGCTGATGACACAAATATATTATATGCTGATAAAAATTTAAAATCTCTTGAGACAATTGTAAATAAAGAACTGGTGGAAGTTTGTGAATGGCTAAATTCAAATAAATTGACACTGAATTTACGTAAAACAAATTATGTTATCTTTCGACCTCATCAAAAAAAGCAAAATTACCAAATCAGCGTAAAATTGTTTGATAATAGTACGAACAATTTCATTGAAATCGAATGCAAAGAATTTGTCAAATATTTGGGAGTTTTAATAGATAATAATCTTACATGGAAATACCACATCGATAACATTAGCTCTAAAATAAGTAAAGCTATCGGCGTAATTGCTAGACTGAGACACTTTGTACCTGTTTCAACTTTGCATAATATATATCGTTGTTTAATATTACCATATATAACTTATGGCTTAATTGCATGGGGGCATGCATCAAAAAGGTATGTCAATAAGATACTTATTTTACAAAAACGGGCATTACGATTAATTTATTTCAAAAAATACAGAGAACATGCTATTCCACTTTTTATTGAATCAAAAATACTTCCTATAAATATGCTTTATATCAAAGCTGTTTCCAATTTAATGCACGATGTTTCTAACGAGTCTTGCCCATCTTCAATTTCTAATTGCTTCATTCACTCAAGACAAATTCATAACCATAACACTAGGCATTGCGTATCTAAGAATTATTATATTGAATATGCAAGACTTACAAAAACAAATTCATCATTCGCAAGAGTTGGAGCAAAAGTATGGAATAATATTTCCACTGATGTGCGTGAATTGGGAAGAACGAATTTCAATAAAATAATAAAGAAAACCCTTTTAACAATACTTGAACTTGAGGATGATTATGTTGATGTACCCACAATAGTTCAACAAATGGTCAAGCATTGAAAATAATTCTAAGTTTCCCATGATATAGCTGTTATAGTATAGTATTCAAGAAATTATTAAGTCGTTATAAATGGGAAATATTAGATATTTAGTATATAATTCTATGCCAAAAGTATACTTTTATTATTAAGATCAGTTATTATTCATGTAACACCTTACATTGTTACATTAATAATAAATATAATGGGCATATAATTTTGATATTGTAACTACACGCCTCGATTAGCTTTGCTATTTTGCGTATAGTACTGTATTTTATTTGTTTTCTTTCTCTTTAAATTTAATAAAATTGTGAAATTGTGAATTGTTGTCTGGATATATTGCTCTTCTAAGGGGCTGTTTATATGAGGCGAGCCAGCTCGAATACCCGAGCTAGCTCGCTTTAGGCCGGATACCGTCTTTGTCAATATTTCCTACTAAATTTCATGTTGCGTTTATATGAGAACCGAGCTGGCCCGCCTAACCGAAGTCCCGCTTTGTGTGACCCGAGACCTCGGGTAAACGGGCTGGGTAGTTTTCCATATAAACGCAACAGGGAGGGCTAGCCCTCCAAGAAGGGCTGGAAATTTAGCAAATAGGCATGCGCAAATAATTAGAATAATTCAGAATGCACAAACAACTCCCATATAAGGAACCAACTTCCATATATGGAGTTGTTTACGCCAAAAAAATTAGAACAAAAAGAGCCAGCCCTTCATGTAAGTTTCATGTAAATGCGTGGTGAAATTCATCTCGGGGATGCGACCCAGCTCGGGTACCCAGGCTGGCTCACTTCCATATAAACAGCCCCTAAAGTTCCTTTTTGTTCAATTGCAATAGAAGTGTTTTTTAAAAACACACATTATTATAAATAAAGAACCACATGAATGCAGTTAACAGGTGTGCCATGTAATGAATACATAAAAACACAAGTGTGTTCTTATAGGAAATGAAGGGTGAGTTCAAAAAACTTGTCGAAGACCCAACTCCAATTGGCATTTATTACAGCAAGGATCAAAATGTGACACTGCAGGAAATATGAAGAAGAACCAATACATGCCAAAAGAAGGCATACAGATTGCTGTTAGATTCCTTGTCAACATACACAAGGAATCTAATTGAGTATGGTAAGCATGCATATATTCTTGAGCCTTGTGCGATATGTGTTCATTTCCGCAAATACACGCATATGCCGTTTAAATCGTATTGATAATAATTGAATTTAGGCAAATTTTCTTTCACCAAACTTTTCAGAATCAAGACGCAATATTGACTATCATGCATGCACGTGAAAATTTAATGGATGTGACGTCAGTATATAATTGTGTGTACAAAGAGGAAGAACCCGAGTGTCCACTTATTTGAAAAAAAAATTACCAAATGAAAAAAAATTTAATGTTGAGATATAGCATTATTTCTTTTCATAATGTTCTGAATAATTACAAAATATAACATCCCTTAAGACAATGTGGTGCAACATAGTTAAATCATTTCCATTCTCTTTCATTTTAAATTTGTCTATTTCCTTGAATAGCTTGCAAGATGTGGGACGACCCTGATCCATATTGTTTCCAATTGCCACTTGAAGACATTGAAATTTTAGAACAATTGGAGAACGAGTTTCGGGTAAAAATGGAAGGTAAATTTACTTTGAAGATTCATATTTTTCACATTTTCTTTTGCATGTTTAATCTGCATGGATTCTCGTTGACCATATCATATGAGAAGTTTTGCACGTAATTTGTATAGAGAATCAATATATTTCTGTTTAGCATGGGAGCATGGTCGTGCACAGGACACAGACCTGTCAAAATCGAGGAGACCAAGCAAGCAGTAGTCAGCTACTTGGATTTACGGTACATGAATCTATATAGTTACAACATCTGCACTAATCTGTGTTAACGCTGCATGCTATGTGTTATATAGAAACATGTACATACAGACTTTGAATAGTGTAAAAGTTAGCTTCCAATGTATCATGAAGATGGACTTTAATTTTTAAATTTATTCTTGAATACAGGCTATTCACACTCACTGGAAACAAAATGCTGAGAGCAGGTAATAAATACAAAATACATAGACAGGTATCTTTTGTATTGTAAAGATTTTCAAAGGTTGACTAACCTTTATACTTCAGCTACAACTTGGAACATATATATCCAATTTTTTGTTTCACCAAGGTTGTTTTGCGGATACCTGCATGCAGAATAACCAAAGCAAGGATTCTGGGGAAACCTCACAGGCTGTGACAGGCAGTATAGCTATATTAATATTTTTTGACACAGCATATAAAGATATGATTTTTTGAGCATGTACAGCATATACATATGGGCATATATAGCCATTAATTAAAGCCCATAGCATATGGTATACAAGTATTTGATGCAACTTCAATGTTTTCACATGTTTTTGTATCTAAGAAAATGCGATGCTGCAAGTAAGGTGAAAAAATTCTTGTTTGCGGAAGGAACAATTGCATTTTACCTTGCTCTAACCCTGAACGTGAGTGGTAATACTATTATGTATAATATATATTTCACTACCAGAGAGAAGATTTATTGAACCACTCTATTCAAAAAGCTGGTTAGCTTCACCCAGGGCCAGAGTTAAGTTACAAGACTTTTCAAGACATTCAGAAACAGAATAGGCTAAATCTTGACCCTGGGTTAGCGCTAATCCTGCTTTGAGCAACCAGCCCCTGACGTTTTTGCCTTATTTAGCTATTCAGATGCACCATGCATTAGCAGATTGAATGGCCTTTTATATATAGCTATATCAAAAATACTTAGCAAAAATACTCCTACTTTCAAGTTATTGTATAACGCCACAGAATATTGACAAGGTTGAGGATTGCTGTACACCACACAAGTGGTGCACATGCAAACAAGTTCTTTTACAAACAACGTAGCTAGCTTTAATTTATGTGTTCACTTGTAACAAATTAATTTTATTTGTGAAAACATATACAATTTAACATTTACTACAAGCAAAAAAGTACAAAAATAAAAAGCTTTTGGCTAAAATCCTGACTCAATATATATATTGCCACAATGATTTTGATTTTTGTCAATATACTGTATATTATATATATTGTCAATATATATTATCACATAATTTTGAGTTTTTGAACAGGGGTGGGGTGAGGTCACACATAATGGCCCGATTTATACTAGAGACGAATCATCCGTCAAGACGGATGATCTGTCTGACGGATGATCTGTCTAAGTATAAACACAAGACAAACTATCTAGACGAACTATGTAGACGAATTTGCCAGACGAAATAGAATCGTGCGATCACAACTGCATGGGAAGTTGGGAACGAACGTGCTTGGCAGAAAAATCAATATGGGTTGTGACGAACACAGGAGCAGTACTTGGTGGTCTGAAGGCTATCGAACCTGGGATGATGTGGCATTCAAGAAGCGTTTGAGAGTGTCTCGTGCGATATTTGATTTCATTCTAAACGAAATTTCTGCCCAAATTGTTAAACAACCAACTCGAATGAAACCCCATCCAACTTCCCCTGCTACTCAGTTGGCAATATGTTTGTATCGGTTGGCTCATGGTGTTACCTATCTAACAGTGGGAGATTTGTGTTTGGTGTTGCGGCTCCAACTGCTTTTTGCATATTCATGGACGTTGCAAAGTTTTGGTGAATACTTTGTATGACAGATTCATTTATATGCCAAGAACAACAGAGGAATGGACCCAGGAACTCAAAGGATTCCTAGAAAGTTGGAAGTTCCCTTGTGTTGGAGCGTGAGATGGTTTTCACTACATGTGTACATTTCTACTACATTGAAAATTTTTTATAGTTATAAGAAGCGGTACTGTCACAAATATGGGGTTTATAGGATATAACAAAAGGTTTATGTTTGCTGCGGTTAGTGCACCTGGCTCAACCCATGATTCCAGGCTTCTACAGAATTGTAACATATAGTCTGAAATTGAACGAGGTAATGTGCTGCTAAAGAATTCACTGAACCTACATCCCCAAGGCAAAATACCACTTGCGATTGTTGGCGATTCAGCTTTTCCGTCCCACCCATGGTTGCTGAAACCATACAAAGAAGGAATGCGAGAGCCCCAAAAGAGGTACTTCAACAAGAGGCTTTGCTCTGCTCGGGTTGTGTCTGAGCATGCATATGGGATGCTGAAAGGGAGATGGCATATCTTATACAAGAAGACAGAATGTCATTGGGACAATATTCAAATAGTAATCATGACTTGCATTTTGCTACATAATATTTGTGTTCACAGGAATGATCCATGCAAGCCTAGATGGCGACTCGAAATAAACCAGCTCAATCTTATTTGTGGATCTGGCCAAGCAGCAAATGCAACTGAAGATGTAAGAAGTATTATATCCAATTGGTTGTGGGCAGTGTGACAAGAGAGGGCCTTGATGCAATGATTATATTAGAAACTGGACATCATTTACAGTTGTAACAAAAGTGTTTTTAAAATATTCTACAAATTCCTTTGCTCACATGAACCAAATGATTCAGCAAGAGTTTTATCAATTAAATAAGAAATTATCAAATTAATATAGAACTTACAGTGGCAAATTATTTGGTTCAAGTGTCAGAGCAATTTGAATGAACATTTTGTGAGAAAACTTCGCCACAACCGTGATACAAACACCTTTTATCAGGTTAAAATTATTTGATATGGTTAAAAAGTAGAGGTTCGTCACAATTTTACTTAAAATTATCAATGAAAAGCTGGCTGTCAGCTTCTCTTGTGGCTCTATTTTTTCTTTAATGAATGCTCATTTCCATGCTCATTTTCATGCTCATAAAAATACAAACACCTTCACTCTTTAACCAATTAAAATTGTCATTTAACCATCAATTAGGCCTTCACCTTGTATGAACATTTACTGGAATCAAATTAGATAGTTTTCACCTATCTAGTATCCTGGTGTACCTCTAATAATTACACTACAACCAATCCGAAAACTAATAACGTAGCCAACTATTCTATGTTTATTCTTGTGTTATTGTTCAGAGACAAAATTAATACCTTCAAATATGCTGAAACACTACTAAATTACTTAGCATAAATTATTCAAATTGTTATCACATACTGTAAAATTATTATGATTGTCTGAACAAGAAAATGACCACTTTCATATAAAAATAAGACAATTTTAATAATGTAAATAGCCGCTTTCCATCTCTGATCTGACTTATTGCCTTGCTGTCCACAGGAACATTAAGAGTTTAAGACAGTTAAATGGTATTAATGCTGTAAGACCATGCAGGCCTAATAGATAGGTTCATATAAAAATTAATAAACTAAGTCCTAGCAGATTTGCATTGTAAACATGGCTTTATAGCCCATGTAAAAGAATGTTATATTTGTGGCATCATATTGAACAAATCATAGAGGGCATAGTATAACTATACCATTTACCAATTTAAGTGGTACCATACATCATAACATAGCTTTGTTATTAAGCATTAACACCATTACATATGATAAACTCTATAAAATATATGCAAACTAAACAACCAAATACGGGAAACGATAAACAAAACAATCCAAAACAAACAAAATCAAACCTTTGAAATATCAATGACTGAACTATAATTGTTCAAAAATTAAAACTGACTAGTCACTGTCTTGCTGTTTTTCACTTAACTTAATTATGTCCATACCAATGTTGGCTGTGCTGATGTGATGCTGGTGTGTCCAGCCCTGTAAGAGCAGTGCCATCATGTGTGATTGGTACTTGGGGCTCATGTTGAATGAAATTAAAACCACTATATGGATACATGTTGTGAATTGGTTGTTGCTGAGCCATTTGGGCATTTGAAGCTTGAAGATGTGGAGGTTCTGGTTGATTAGGTCTAGTGTATTTCATGATCATTTCCATCATCTTCAGTTCATGTTGTCTGTTGAGCTCTGCTTGTTCTCTTTGAAAGTTTAAAAATTCATCGTGCCTTTTCTTCTCAGCTTCAGAAAATAATTCAGATCGCTTCTCTTGCATCTTCTCCATATCAGAAAAACTCTTTGCCATATTTTGAATTGCTTGTGCTTGGCTTTTAACCCTCTTTTGAAAAAAAGGTTTAGTTTCAAGTTTAGCTTTATGTTTCCTTTTGGTGCTACTACACAAACTACTGTTTGTGCTGGCTTCTAGGACATTGTCATCACTATTATTACTCCCTCCCGAAGTTGATCCAAGGCTAAGGCCTTTTGGTCCAAACTCGCTCTTTTTTACCCCTATTTCTCTTGTTTGAATCACCAACACGAGTATTGCTTGCATCAGCCATATTGGATTTTTTGGTGAAATCTGCTGAATGCGAGTAACAAAGTATCGGATTTTCCGTAGTGCGTCCATATGCCGTATTTATACTCACAGACGGATGATCCGTCAAGACGAATTACGCACACAAGTTCGTCTAACTTGCAGATAATTCGTCTTGACGGATGATCCGTCTGTTTGCCCGCGTTTAAACACGGACAAACTAGAAGACGAACTACCTTTTGCTTGCCCAAGTTCGTCCAGACGGATGATCCGTATCTAGTATAAATCCGGCCAATGTTGAGAAATTTCAATTAAAGTTGTGCATTTCATATTCCACCACTCCCCCGATCAAAGTCTACGACCTCCACATGTACTGTACCTTCTTAGTAAATATATCTCTACACATACATACAGGGAAGAGTGTGTTTAAAATCCTGCTGACTGTTCTAATTAAATGAAACAAGATGGTAAATGCTGTAAAAAAATAAACATTGAACTACTACGTAATGCATGTCGGTGTTTTAACTCATCTCAGCAAAGGGAAGAGGAAGAAACTATGATTCTTTGCGAAACGAAACAGCCAGAAAACGTATGTATATATTTGCACAGACTAAGATATGTTCTCAAACAAACATTAAAACATATCACAAATGACATCTATTTATAAGAAAGCTACATGCCCGGCTGAAGAGTACTGGTTGCAATGCAGAGCTTATAAGTTCATGCATCCTCTTTCTTGATCCTCCAGACACCATTTTAATACCTTTACCCCATTTTCTTTCTAGTGTCCTGGCAACACTTATTACCACTTGGTATGTCTAGGCCTAAGAGCAGTTCCGAAGGGAAAATGGTAAGAATGTTATGCATATATCTTTGAATTTCAGTCTAAGATTGCATTTTAGTCTTTGGAAAGGCTGAAATTCAGTATCTCGAAAACTACACTTTTAAAAAAGATTGAAAACTTTATAACAATGTATTTAAAATGTATTTTCAAAACTTTATAACAATGTTATATGTGTATGTAATGTATACTCTGCAAAAAAAAGGTAGGTCAGCGTGGTTATTTGTCTGCTAAGACTGCTTAAACAGACAGGTAATGTTAGTAATACGTATTGTGAGTATCCTCGTTTGTGAGATAAAGATAACACATGTATTTGTTCACAGGCGGTCATTGAGTACTCTGTTGAGATTTACAAAACATATATCAGTCTATTTTTATATTATAGGAAGTAAACGAATATTTCACAGAAGCTGACTTGCTATGTTTGCTTTAAATAGCTCATGCTCAATAGAGGACGTAATCAAGAGAACACCTGGGCTGGCAAAAAAGCCAAAGCAATAGGGATTCCCAAGGAAGACTTGCTCCCATCATTCGTTGATCGAATGTCGCTACCTGCATGTATTAAAAATATTGCCTAACATTATCTAATGTAGATACTTGGTGATGTAAAAGTAGATTATTTGATAGTATCATTAACGATTGTTGCGATCTTCAGGTGCTGGTTGTATGAAAAAGTTACAACATATACCAAGTGTAAATTGCAAAAGTTACACAATCAAAATAGTTTTTTTGAAAGTTATTAACAACTATTTAACCAATTAAAGTTAAAAAGTATGTAAGATGCATTCCAACTTAATTTCATAAGCATACAACTGTGTTTAAACATTTTTTGATACTTTAACAGTTTGCATGGAAGGTAGTTGGGATGAAGAATGATACAAGATGGAATGTGATGCAGACCGTACATGCGCTGACATACAAACCGCAAACGTCAAACAACTTCGCTCTCTTCACAAGGCAACATTGTGGGAAGTCATGGAAACCATTCATAGTGTTAAAGGTATTAAAATTAATTTAAGTCTTACATCGTACTTGATAATTACGGAATCGATGTTGTATAGTGTGATGTCTAATGGATCACTTCAGACTACAGCTTTTTAGGCAATATTACAATTATATTTATAATTTTTAGACTGGGTCAACACAGTCGAAACCGCCTTCATATAATCAGCATTTTTGTTGTTTCGCTATATTTTCCACTTTAAAAGAGTAATATTGAAGCATAAACTGGTCTAATTGTTTTAAAAGTATTCAAGGTAAATGTTTTTCATCTTTGGTTTGCATTTGTTTTTACATTTGTAGCTATGAAATTGGTGTTGCCAATTTTAAAGAAATTTGGGATGCATTTTTCACTGTTTTGTGCTTGAAATATTTGCTAAAATTGACTGGGAATACTTAGAGATTTCATTGTAGAATGGCATGGTTATATTTATTTGCTCTTTGACTAAAATGTGTAGCTGTATTATTGCTAAACATGCCGTTTTTGAGAATTTGGTTTGCAACTAGGTTTCAACATCTAACCACGCCATCAGCCCATTGAAAACAGGTCGCATCAGCTAGTTTCCTATCCATTTATTTTATTATCCATGATGATACTGACAGTGGACAAGATACAAACATCTTAATAGAGCAGGTAATTGTATAATTTAATTGGATGCAAACTTAAAACAAGGATAGTATCGTCTTGAGTAGTTAATTTTTTTATGATGATTGGCTATGAATATTCGTTAAATTTTGTTGTCTAATTGTCTCAACATGTAATCTTCGTTTTTCAATACTTACCAGGGATTGCCTCCTAACAAAAAAGAACTTTTCACCTCTCTGACACCACGGCGAAAGAGAATTTTTTTGAGGTAACACATTATAATGAACTGTGCATACACTATATAATATTGCATGGTAATCAAATACACACGGAATAGTGCTGAGTATTAAATATTTTTCTTCTTGTTTAGGGGTTCGAAGCAGGAACTGTGTCTGTGGTAGCAAGCCAGTGTTCGACTTCCGTTGCAGGTGCATCAACATCTGGCCCCAGCGAATCTCCATCAGCGTCCATCACTGGAGCATCAATATCCACCGAAGATCCTTCAGCGCCATCCTCAGACACATCAACACCAGCTTCAGCGCCTTCAGCACCAGCTTCAGTGCCTTCAGCACCAGCTTCAGTGCCTTAAGTGCCAGCTTCAGTGCCTTAAGTGCCAGCTTCAGTGCCTCAAGCGCCAGTCTCTGGTCCATCTGCTGCAGCCTCGGGCTCTTCAGCGCCAGCCACAGGTTCTCGTGACTTGCGAACCTGATCAGCAACATTGTCTGGCCTGAAAAACCTTTATTCCCAGCCAGGGCATTTTTTAAGAAATTGCAACTACTTGGGTCAAGTCTCAATGAGGGCCTTTTCCCCACACAGTTACCTGTGCTCAGGGACAGCGCTAGTCCCTATTTGAATGGGGGGCGTGCAAGTGAAATTTTGCCGACTCATTAAAAGCGCCAATTTATATTTCTTTTCCCAATATTGTTGACTAATTGGGGG